TTCACCACTGAAGGTCAACACTGAGGACACTGTCTGGCAAACAGGTACATGAGACATGAGAAACAGCGTTTGAATGGATTCTTATGATAGAAGCATTATCCCTACTTTTTTCTTCACCATCAAGATGCTGATTTCTAGAAGAATGATAAAAACTCCTGGCAAGTAGCTACTTCGGTCCAAGAAGAGATGTGTGAAAACTAATTCCTTTGTGTATTTTACAGAGGCTCTGAGATGGACCCGGGTGTCAGTTACTGGTTTCTACGATTATAGCAAAGAAGACAAAGGTGATGAATAAAAATATCGTCCTACTGGTTTTTTTTTTTGACAATCATACATTTTCTTTTATTCCTACTTCAATATATCTGTAATCAGCAGGAGGTTAACTTTTGCAACTCGCTCTGCTGTGCTGCAATTATTTACACCAGTTGCCTAATTAGATTTTTTTCTTATTCCTGTAGGAATTTAGAAAGCAGTGAGTTAAGGCTTCATTAGAGTAGGGTAATTCTTAGAAGGAGAGAAAAGCAATCAAACATCCACTCAAATGGTATTTTGACCCAAGATGACTCTAGTATTTAAGTTTCCCAAACAATTCATCTCATTAGCTTAAATTCATCAGTGAGTCTTTAACATCGGACGAGGAATGAGTACAAATTTGTCTTTGGACTGTAGTAATTAACTTTCCACCACATTATTCACTGGAGAGACTTGCAATCAGCACAGAGTACTTGTCCCACAGGAAGAATTGTAATGTGTTTAATTTTCCTTATTTTTTTAAAAATAAAAGGAAATAATCACTGTATCCCTATTTTAAAATCTTCCTTCACTGATTTAATGTAAGCAAAGGGGAACATTAAACTAGAAACTGGCCATAATTTAGAAAATAAAGATGATTTTCAAGCTGTACTCACAGAAAAATGTTTGACTTCTTGTCTAATAAGAAAAATGTCTAATTACACAATTCAGAATGAATGGTTACTGTGCAATCCTGTATCTTTTCACAACTATAGAAAAGAAAGATTATAAAATTGAGGAAAATAACCTAAATAGTCAACATATTTAGGAAATTACCAAAAAAATTCAGGTCTGTGGATTAAAAAATTTCACAAACAAAATAAAACAAAGCCCCCTTTATGTCTCACTTAAAATTTATGGCAGAAATAGGATTTACGGTGTTTAAAAAATAAATAACTAAGCTAGACCTTGATGGCACGAAAGTCAACGTGAACAAAAAATTAAAAATCAAAGCCCATTCTGTGTAACCACAGGGAGACAAATGAATACTTTCATTCAGAGTACAGTTCCTCTTAAATGGACTAAACGCTCCTTCCTGCTTTGGTTATTAAAATCCCTTTTAAACACTCTGAGCTCTCAAGACACTTTGTTTTGTTACCCCAGACCATCTTCTCTTCTGAAGTACTTTAGTCTTTCTCACTCAATTCAGCTTCTAGTTGTAGGCTCTTCTGTCGTCTCTTGGTCCTGTGTACGTTGTTATCCCTCGTGCAGCCTGACAGTGGGTACCACGCCCTCCTCAGGGCCACAGCCTTGCTGAACATCAGCAGCGTGGAGACTGGCTAGAGCTCTGCATTTCCTTCACGTGATGCCTCACCTGCATGTTAGCCAAGTTACTTGCTGAACCGAAGTTTCATCCGATGTGAAATGGGGACAATCACACCATCAACCTCCTGGAGTTGTGCACAGACCAAGTGAAATAATTCACCACAAGTGCTCATGAGCAGAGTGCCTGGTGCCCAGGAGGGCCTCAGGAATGACCGACCATCACTGCTCCTGCTCCACGGATAATCTGGAGCCTTCTACCGTGTCCAGAGACAAAAATGTTATTTGAAGACTGAAATTAGAAAGTCACATATTTTATATCTGCACTTTTAGGAAGATGGTCTTTCCTTGCCTGAGGAATCTACTCTACTTAGTTGATTCTTTTTTGTTTTCAATCATATTTTAATACCTTGGAACTCAGGATGTGTCTGACAAGCCAGTCTTCTAAGTAGCTGAAAAATGTTTTGTTTTGTTATCTTAGATTCCATCAAACGCAGCGTGAATTTTGCAGATTCTTTTGAAGAAAGAGATTTAGGAAGAGCATGACAAGATTCAGAAGCCTCCACCTCTTCTTCTGTGCTTTTAACTCTGCCCCAGGAGACCCAGCCTCATACCACCACCATGATGATCCTTTAGGTGCTGCAGACAGAGGGACACTGCTTATTTCAGCTTGTACTTGTTTTTTTAAGCTATTTGATATCATTTCAGTTTGAAATCACTTCATACTGATATCTGATACTCCAAAGGCGGGAAGTCCTGCTTATTAGAGCTCTTTCACAATTAAGGCACCTGCTTGGTCACTACTGTCTTCAAAAGCCCTAATAAGATTGGTGTATGTCCTGATTTCCCCAAAACATTTATGAGTTTTGCCTTGTTGTCCCAGCATAATTATCAACAGCAACTCCTTTCATTCTTAGGAGTACCCTGGTTGGGGTGATAAATGATATGATTACCCAGTGTGAAGACCAAGGTAGGTCTAAAATGTATGGGTTTAATGCCCTGTATTTTAATTTTGTCTTTGCTGTTTGTAAACCTGGGCTTTTAGTCAATTAGTCATCCATGTGATTCAGGCAGTGTTCACTCCCTCAGATTTTTGCCTCATACTGGTTATACAGTCAGAAGTCAAACATACGTGGCCCTAATTCATGGAGTTTACAGCTTAGGAGAGCACACAGACATTAGGTAATTACACTCCAAAACATCATAACTCCTCAGGAGAGGTACAAGATGCTATGATTGCCTGTTAAAGCCCATAGGGAGGCAAGGTGGGACATACAGGCAGTAAAAATACATCTGGATTGTTCTGTGATCCTAAGAGGATGCCATCTCATTTTAACACAGCATTCGTAACATCACCGTTTGTTTGCCTCCCACTCAACTGCCATGGTGAGGAGACATGTCAGTATGAGGAGGCCCTCTGAAGATGGGCACTATGGAATACTGTGAGTGGGTACAAGGCGAGGAGCAGACGCTTAATCCTTGGTTTCTCACTGAAGTGGCAAAACCAGGATGGGAGCAAAAAACAGCAAGGGGGAGAAGGACAGAACAATGGCATTTGGTATTATTAAGTTCCTGGAGGGTGAAAACTGTATACAGTTTTCTATTTTGTTTTTTTTTTTTTGTTGTTGTTGTTGTTTTTCTGCCTTCTTGGAGCATGGTTCTAAGACACGGCAGAAATGCTAACAGCATCTTAACTTGTGATAACAGAGAAAATGAAGCTCAGAGAAAGAAGGCTCAGAACTCAGATTCAAACAGAAACAGGGGAAAATTTAAAGGTGCCCTCAGGCCATTCTGGCTTCTCATAGTCCCTGACTCCTTCTTCCTGACAGGCTCAACACCAGCAACCCGAACAGACTGGTTTGACAATGTCGGGGAGGATGGGGGTGAGCATGAAGACTTTGAGGGGACTGCGTAGGCTACAAATATGAAAAGTTTCTCCCCTGAAAGAACTCGGGGGACCAGAAAGACAAGATGGGAGAAAAATCTCTATATCAACGGGATTCCCAGTTATTGACAAAACACTAGGTGTGTAAATTTACTTCCAAGATCATATGTGATGAACTAGTCTGCTTTCCATTTATCCACTGCCTGAAGATGACATTTCCAATACAAATAAGCCCTTCCAAAGGTAGGAAATTAAATAATAATTACGGAAGTGCATAGCGCCAAGGCCAAAAGTGGGGGGGAAAAGAAAGAATGGCTCCATACAACCTGCACAGAGAATCTATAAAGTATGGTGCTAAATCTTCAACCACAGGCTCTGTACTAGTCCTGATAAATTCCAGAAAAATGTCACTAGTGGTGGGTAAATATTTTATCTAGCTAAATTTTTACGAAAGGAGACATAATCAAACTTAAAAACTCAGTAAATTCTTCAAGGATTAGAAATGACAGTGGCAGAGTCACACGTGTTGATTGTTCATCTAGTGTATCGTTAATTCGTGTACATATCTCATATCTGTACAGGGTAGTCTAGTAGACAGAGCTCTGACTTTAGGATTGGAGAGACTAAATCCTTGGCAAATCTTTGAGCCTCAGTTTTCTCATCTGTATAATGGGGATATTATAATGAAATGTGGAGTCTTCCTTGAGTTTTGAGAATTTAATAAGATAATATATGAGAGTACCTAGCAGTGCCTGGTATATATATAGAGAAAACCAGGTAAAGGATAGCTGCTTTGATGGTGATTAGGTTTGAAATTCTTATAAATAACCTAGATGATAATTTCATGTCTCCAAATCACAGTTACCACATATTTAATACTAGTCTAACTATACCTGCTCTGATCACTGACCACTTACTGTAGAGGTCAAGTGAGATATTATATAGGAAATCGCCATCAAAACTACCAATGTCTTCATAAATGTAAAGTATTAGCCTTTTCTCTCTAATGTCTGTCTAGGTTTAGAGCTACTATTGTTGTTTGTTTGTCTTTTACCCAAAGGCCCCTAGTGAAGGAGACACACTGCTTCTGCTGACTTCTGTTTGCAGCCCACACACTACAGGGACTTGATGTAGAGTGGGTAACAGACAGATGTCAGGACTCACATTTTCTCCCCTAAGAATTTTGTTCCTTTCCATTCTATTTCTTTCCCTCCAAGTACTTCCTCCATTTCTTTTAAAATTAATTCATTTAATATTTATTAAGTTCCTATATGGCCCCCTTTCTTCTCTTTGTCAAGGCTTAGTTATAAGACGGTACCAACGCTCATTGATTCTGGTCTTGTTGTTTTGCAGCTGTGATCTTGGGCAAATTAAACTCAATATACTCAATTGTTTTTTTTTCAAATATGCAAAGTGGGGATAGTAAACCTACCGTAAGGAACTACTGTAAGAATTAAGTGAAGATTAGATGTCCTGCTCAACAAGGACTTGTTGGATGCTGCAGGTTGTGAGTTCCATCCCTTGCATGTGGTCCAAGGCTGTCCCCTTGGACTTGACTGACCTGTGAATGATGCGCTGGCCCTGCAGGTAGTCCAGGGCCATGGCCAGCTCACAGATGAACAGCTTCACAGTGTCTTCCTGAAAGCGGACATTCTGCTGCAGGTGATAACGCAGGTCCCCGCCCAGCAGCAGGTCCACCACCATGAACATATCTTCCTCGTCTTGGAAGGAGTACCTAGAATGGAATTAGAAATGAAAGTGGGTTAAGTACATTTACACACTAAAGAGTCCTAGAGGCAAATGACACCTTACAGATCAGGGCAGAGCATCCCTGAGCTAAGAGGTCAGGCTTTGGGAGTACTGATCATCACGAGGTGTAGACCCTCAGTTTCCATGTGTGTAAAATGGGAATGATAACAATATCTTTCTTCCACACTGGATCACAGTAAAGATGAAACATGATGAGTATTATATTTAATGTTATTCCTGGCACAGAGCAAGCACTCGTTAACAGAGTTTGCAAAGCTATAAAGCCCAGGAACTAAAACCCCATTTACTCACTTATCATTCATGAGCCTATCCTAACTGTACTGTTGCAGGAGGTCTGTAAACTATGAATTATGAGGCCTCCCTGAACCATCTCATGCATATTTTCCCATACTAACAACTTCACTGTGCAGCAAGATTATAACAAACCATGACCCAAATTAATGATAAGAAGAGGATGTGAAAAGGGCAATGAAGAAGTAGATGGACAGTAAAAGGAAGGATTGCACCCAGTCTTTGGGATGAGGATGTGAGGGAAAGCTTTTTAGCAGAGGAGAAACCTGAGTTAAATTGTGAAAGATGGTGACAATAATCGTAACTACAAAATGAAGGTGACATTGCTGACTTTTCCCTTGAGTGACTCCCCCCGGGCAGGCTCTACACTGTCCAAGGGGACCACAGCCCACCCCACAATACTGCTCTTATGCTCCCGTTTTTACAAACGAGGAAATCAAAGCCCAGTGAAGTTTAAGTCATTTGTACAAGATCAGACACCTCACCAACGGTAGAGGTGAAGGGTTCTCCAGGTCCAAAAGCAAGATCCAAAAGAGGGAAACAGCATGGATTTTGCACAGGTGTGAGAAAGAACATAGTCTGGGTTCACTGGAATCACAGGTGTGATGGGAAAGCTTGAGGCTGGAGAGGAAGACTGAGGGAAGATCCCATGACAGGAACTTGTTCACGAGCCTGCAGATGTTGGAGAGACACGGCAGAGCTTTCAGCAGGACATATGCTCAGATTTGGGCTTCACACTTGAAGGAGCATGGGCTGGAGGGGTGGGAGGAGGAAATGAGATCCAGGTGGGCAGAACTGGTCTCTGTTGTTTGCAAAGAGCCTCCTTTAAAAATGTGTTCCTCTTACAATGATTTGTTTTCCTCAAAGCACCAGCATGATTTCTGGTCACAATAAGGCTCTCTGTATCAACACTGTTTTTGACGTATTTCTTTCTACATCACGTCACTGAGGTCACACATTGAAGTTTTATTTGAATCAAAAAATTAACAGCCTGCAAAGCAGTGGCCAGGTATGCAAACCAATTCCTAGGGACCAGTTCTTTGCTTAGGAAACAAATGTAGACTATCGATGGGAGAACTGTACTTAGTACATTTTCTTCTTTATAGCGATCGCTGTGCTAGGTAGAGGAGGAGAGGACTTGGAAACAAAAGAAGAGAAAGCCAATGAAGCATTAATCTGAAGCAGTAACATTCTAAGGAAGACTAGGTCCTTGCTGTCTGCTTGTTCAATAAATGAAGTTTTGTTTACCAGTGAAGACTGATTCATACAGAAGATACCAGAAATTACGTCCCTGGTGGGAATTTAGACAGAAACACAGGAAGTGCTTTGTAAAAATGTGAGAAGAGCATCTTTGGTACTGTCTTTTTTTTTTTTTTAATTGAAGTATAGTCAGTTACAATGTGTCAGTTTCTGGTGTGCAGCACAATGTTTCAGTCATATATGTACATACTGTATTGTCTTTTAGGAACTGAGATTCTGGGACTGGCTGATCATCTCTGTCATAGGTTTAAGGGGTACCAGGATAGATGCCTGGACCTGGGCTCTTTGGTTCACAGTCCTCCCAGCTGCACCACTACATGTTATACCTGTTGGGTTTTACAGGTCTTTCAGGAAGCAACAATGTGCTAATTAATATGTAATGCTGTCTGGGATCTATTGCACCACAGGCTGCCCTTAGCTAATAGAAACAATGATGACTCATGGAATGTGAAATGGGTCTCGTTGAGATAGCTGGCAAATGAGATGGGTGAGGACTGGGTACCGAAAGACGAGAGGATAGAGTACTAACCATAAACATAATTCTGTGCCATTGGAAACAGTGTAGGCAGACTGGGGTAGCATACAGAGCAGTGATCGGCTGCATTCAGCTCCCCACTGGAGGCAGGGTGGAGGTCAGGAACGTGGCGAAAGACCAGAGGACTCCTCTTCCATTACTTTGAACTCTTAAGTAGGGGACAGTGTTCTTATTAAATTCATCCTGAACGGACAGACATTTTTATTGTGGCTTGGGCTAAGCTGTTTTTTTTTTTAAATTGAAGTATAGTCAGTTAACAGTGTGTCAATTCCTGGTGTACAGCACAATGTCCCAGTCATGCATATACATACATATATTTGTTTTCACATTCTTTTACATTAAAGCTTATTACAAGATATTGAATATAATTCCCTGTGCTATACAGAAGAAACTTGTTTCTTTTTTTAATCTATTTTGATATATAGTGGCTAACATGTAAATCTCAAACTCCCAAATTTATCCCTTCCCACCTCTTTCCCCCTGGTAACCATAAGATTGTTTGCTATGTCTGCGAGTCTCTTTCTGTTTTGTAGATAAGTTCATTAGTGTCCTCTTCTTTTCTTTTTTTAGATTCCCACATATGAGTGATATCATATGGTATTTTTCTTTCTCTTTCTTAGAATGACTATCTCCAGGTCCATCCATGTTGCTACAAATGGCATTATTTTATTCTTTTTTATGGGAATGGTAGTATTCCATTGTATAAACATATCACAGCTTCTTTATCCACTCATCTGTTGATGGACATTTAGGTTGCTTCCATGTCTTGGCTATGGTAAATTGTGCTCCTATGAACATTGGGGTGTTCCCTCTGGGTATATGCCCAGGAGTGGGATTGCTGGATCATATGGTAAGGCTATGTTTAGTCTTTTGAGGAATCTCCATACTGTTTTCCATAATGGCTGCATCAAACTACATTCCCACCAGCAGTGTAGGAGGGTTCCCTTTTCTCCACACCCTCTCCAGCATTTATCATTTATGGACTTTTTAATGATGGCAATTCTGACTGGTGTGAGGCGATCCCTCATTATAGTTTTGATTTGCATTTCTTTGATCATTAGCGATATTGAGCATTTTTTCATGTACCTTTTGGCCATTGGGCTAAGCTATTTTTATTCCAAGAACAGACTGGTAAAGTCTGCCAAGTTAATGACAATGACAGTGTTCGACCATGCGGGGGATTATTAATCAAAGAAAGAAGAAGCCCAGGCAAGAGGCAGCATGCTTCCCTTGCCCAGTATGATTAGACATTTATTTCACCCTGGAGCCAGGTTTGGCTGTTACAAATCATCCTTCTCTTTCAGCACATCAGATCAGAAGCCCTCTATTACAGATCCTATCCTCTCGGAGGGAGAGAAGATAAGTATTTTATTTCCAGACCTATATCCAGTAAAATATGTGGGCATCATACCGTTTGGTGATAACTAGGATATGAAGGTTCATAATCTGATTTTTTAAAAATAAAAAAGTAAGAGCTTCCCTAAACCTTGGCCATTTTGCATTTCCATTGCTTTTTTTTTGTGATACTCTATCATGGCTTATTTATTTCTTCATTGACAGCTCCAAAATTATTAAGTCTGGTCCCAGTGCATGTGAAATGCATTGTAAAGTCTGCTCAGTAAGAGAAGATAAAAGTAACAGACAACCACCACCCTACCCACCCCCCATTCCATCCTGTTTGACCCAGATTATTGCCACAGACTATTTATAGCTCTCTCTGTGTAATCTTGGACCCTTCCAGTCCGTTCTACACACCAGGCATCTACAATGTGATTTTTATGTTTTCCAGCCTCATAAAAACCCTACACCTTTTTCCATGGTCTGCAGGACCCTGTGTGGTCTGGCCCAGTTTATTTTTCCAGACTTAGCTTGAAGATCTTTTCTTTCCATTTCTCAACTAGTAGTTCATGCCTCCTCCAGCCCTAGAAGATTGTGATGTGTATGGTGTGACCTGGGCCTGCACTCACAATGCTGTCTGCTTATTTTCTATTCAGCTTTCAGTCTCAGCCCAAGCGGCACTTCTCACAGAGACATTTCTAACACCCCATAGCGAATTAGGCCTCTCTGTTACACACCACGCCATATTCCTGTCCACACAGCTTAACAGAATTTGAAAGTGTTTTCCTTTTGGATAATATTTTCCTGTGGATTAACTGCTTTCCTTCGCACTCTGGCATCAGGATGCATGCCTGGTTTTACTCATCCTTGACTACCTGGATGCTGTAGACTCTACAAATAGTCATAGAAAAAGTGACAAATTCCTGAATGAACTAAAGAAAGGAAAGAGAAAGAGCAAGATGAAAACTCAAGTTTGGGTGGTCTGGTAGCCATTCCTTACGTTCTATTTTTAGAAATTAACATGATTACCAAATCAGTTCCGAGAAGTCACTCACCAGCTTAAAACTGTCTCATGAAGGCCACCCTGAGATAAATCTAAATCTGAGCGGAAGAGATCTAACATAATTTCCCATGAGTGTTTTCCAAAGTGTGGCTCATAACCCACCAACGTGTTGTGAAATCACCTTGCTTGGTTCCGACAAGCACTATTTTTGAAGAAATCAGATAGACTGAATAACAGAATAAATGCTATTAACATGGAAAGTTAAACATTGTTTTTGTGAGTATGAAGTGTGTTTCTGTGAATATATCTACTGGGTTGTGATTAGAAGTACATTTCTTCCTGTGGGTGACATGACATTAGGGGAACCTGCTGCCTATTCCAGAACTACTGTGTCAAATCCTCATTCAGACTTGACCTCAACAAGGGTCAGTTCTGATGTCTCCATCTAGCAAAGCACAGGAAGTGCATGGTGAGATTATTTATCACTTCTAAAAGCTCTCAGAATTTGGAGAAAAAGACACTGATTCATTAAAGGTGG